GGAGGGGGGAGAGGAGGGGGAGAAGAGGAGGGGAGAAGAGGAGAAAGTAGGAAGCAAGGCATTTAATAGAGAAATTTTCCATTTTGGGCAGCTGGAGTTTAATCCCATTGGTAGTCCATGTGGAACACACACCTCAGGGTCACTGGACCCAGGAGGAGAAGGCGCTGAAGTGCTTCTCTAGCATTGCTCATCAGCCATTGATGAGAGCTGCTTTCGGAGTGGGATGTGTCTTAATTTTCCAGCACTCTGGCGGGCCATGGGGGCAGAGGGTCAGGAGGGATGAGGCTGAGGGCACATGGCGGGGCACTGGTGCGTTCATCTGGCCAGCTGGCTGGAGGCCGCCGCTGAGGGCAGGAGAGATATGTACCCCTGGCGTCTGGAACTCACACTGAGCACTTGCTGTGTGCCAGGCACACCATGCCCGACTCCACGGGTCACTGCGTGTTCCATACCTGTGGCTGGAGCGCGGTTTCCACCTGCACTGACCCCGCCCCACGTGTTCCCCCAGGATGCTGCCCATCACGGAACATCTGCTGCTGCTTCTGGGGCTGGAGAAGACCGCCTTCCGCCTGTACGCCGTGTCCGCGCTCCTCCTCTCCCTGCTCTTCTTCCTCTTCCGCCTGCTGCTGCGCGTCCTGAGGCTCTGCTGGCGCTTCCACACCACCTGCCGCCAGCTGCGCTGCTTCCCGCAGCCGCCCCGGCGCAGCTGGCTGCTGGGCCACCTGGGCATGGTGTGTGGGCCGGGCCGGGGCGGGGCGGCCCCGCGTTGCGGGCAGTCTCACGGGCTGCCGGCTCCCCACACCCCCCCAAGAACCTGGTTGGAGCCCGGCCGGGCGTGGCTCAGCGGTTGAGCGTCGACCTAGGATCCAGGCGATCAGGGTTCGATTCCCGGTCAGGGCACATGCCCGGGTTGCGGGGGGCTCGATCCCCAGTCGGAGACGTGCAGGAGGCAGGCGATCAATGATGTTTCTATCTCTCTCCCTCTCCTTTCCTCTCTCTGAAATCAATAAAGATATATATATATCTAAAAGAATCTGGTTGGAGCCAGGATGTGAGACTGAGGCTCAGAAAGGGCAAGCCTTTTGCCCATGATCACATAGCTGGGATGAGGCAGACCTTACTGCAAAGTTTTCTGTGTAATTTCAGGCTATTGCTGTACTTTTCATATGATATATGTTATATCCTTCCTTCCTTCCTTCCTTCCTTCCTTCCTTCCTTCCTTCCTTCCTTCCTTCCTTCCTTC